CCCCCCCCCCCCCCCATATTAGGAAATCTTGTGCCGCCCATTTCATATAAGTCATCCTGTTGTGGACATACCCCCTGGGGGTGCATCATCTCATCACGTAGGCTGGGCTCACAGTACACAGTCCAGCTTGAGTTCTGCTTCATACAAACTACTGTAGGAAATGGCACCACCGATCTATGATGCTATCAGTCGATTAAACCAAACTAAAAGAGAAATATTACTTTTGGATGAAATTGGTCAAAATTTTTAAAACAAATTCTTCATTGTAATTTAGTTGGTCGAAACAAAACATTTATTGAGCTGTCATGGTGCTTTTGGTCGCTATGACTTTCATCATCAATCAGTTCAATTCTAAATGTCTTGGCCAGATTTCTTTCTTTATATCATTTGCCTTGTATGAGCTCAGCTACTCTCTTGGCTGATCCAGGTCATCAGAATGCAGCTTAGTTTGATATAGTGTATGTACACTGTAATAAAAATACTTTGTATTTCAGCTGTTGATCACTGCTCACTGAATGAACATGGCTGCGAGCATTTGTGTGTGAATGCTGATGGTTCCTTCACGTGCCAGTGCTTCGAGGGATATTTTCTCCGCAGTGATAAGAAGACATGTCAAAGTGAGTGACTTTCATGCTATACATACATAGAAAGATCATTGCATAATGTGATAGGATGTGCGATGTCCGCCCAGATATGTCAGCAATTGTTCCGGCATATGCTTTTCACAGCGATGGGGGGAACTTTATTTCATATATATGTAGCAAACAGAGCTGTCACAACCGTCATTTCCAGCTTCAGGGCTAGTAAAACCTAAAATGAAAGTCATACTGCATTCCCCTTAAAAATGCATTTTATGTACTTTATTTATTTATTGAATGATTCATTTAGTACTGTGCGTCTAGCTCACATCTATGCAATGCTGTTTAGCGCATTTTTACAAATTAGGACATGCAGCATTTGTGTGCATTTACATTTCTTAAAGCAGGACTCTAGGTAAATCAAATCTTAACCCTTGCCCGGAGTTCTGCTTTAACCCGATATTTGGCAGAGAATGGTAAAACATGGAAAAACAGATGATCAGTTGCTTCAGAAGGTCATGGAGAGGGCTGAAATAAATGAAAGGCCCCCTTCACACCGCTTCAGGGAGTTGTGGCGTGTTACAGCACACCTGCTAATATATGGTATTTTATGCATTCATGTGCATTGCATTAAGGCAGCCCAATAATTTTTCACGGGCTTCCACATCCTCCCAAAAAACTGACATATTGCTTTTTTTTCAGTGCATTGCACCACAATGTACATTGTTGTTATAAGCAACAACACAAGTGCACTGGGGGATGTTTGCAACAATAAAACAATGAAGAGATTGGATGTATAGAAAAAGAAAATCTAGCATAATGAAGGAAATGTAAAAACCTTAACAAGAGGTAAAACATGATAGCATGAAAAATTAAAACAATAATATATTTGTATAAATGAATATTACAAGTATTACAAATATATTGCTTAGTCCTGAGACTTCTGGTCCTTGGATGAAGGTTGTATTAGAAAATAAAAGAATAGTCATATATATATATCAAGAATGGGTGAATCACAACTGAGAGGAAATGTATGTTGAAGAATGAATTTAAATGAGTTCTAGATATGAAATATTAACTGCTGACTAGTGATGAAGCGAACACCCCCCTGTTCGGTTTGAATTCGAACTTTAGAACATGGAAAAAGTTAGACAGTTTACAATGGATCATGCAGTACATGCTCTCTGTCCCCCACAGGTAAAGACCCCTGCAAAACCTCTGAACATGGCTGTGAGCATCTGTGCGTCAACAATGAGAATTCCTATATGTGCAAATGCTTTGAAGGATACCAATTAGCAGAAGATGGAAAACGATGTCGAAGTGAGTACGGAAAATGCAGGAATTTTGATTTTGGTGTGTGTAAAGATGTCTGTGGCCACCTGAATATTGAGAGTATTGGGTTATAAGCTAAATAACAAAAACAATCTGTGTTTTCTCTTCATCTTTATTCTTCATTGATGCACCTTGCGTTAAGGCAGTCCAGTGCATATGGGGTCAGTGGAGAAGTTCCCCCTTACACTGGTGGTTAGTGGAAAAGTGCCCCCTTACATCAGTGGTAAGTAGAGAAGTGCCTTTACATTGGCGGTCAGTGCAAAAGTGCCCCCTTACATTGGTCGTCAGTGGAGAACTGCCCCCTTACATTGGTCGCCAGTGGAGAACTGCTCCCTTACATTGGTCGTCAGTGGAGAAATGCCCCCTTACATTGGTCATCAGTGGAGAACTGCCCTCTTACATTGGTCATCAGGAGAGACGTGCCCCCTTACATTGGTGTTTTTTTTTATAGAGAAGTTCTCCCTTATATTTGTGGTCAGTGTAGAGGTTCCCAATTGCATTGGTGGTCAGGGGACAAATGCCCCTTACATTGGTGGTCAGTGGAGATGTGCCCCTTAAATTGATGGTTTTTATAGAGCAGCACCCCCTTACAGTGGCGGAACTACCGCCGGTGCAGGCGGTGCGGGCGCCCGGGGCCTCAGGCTCTCGGGGGGCCCAGCAAGTTGCCGGCCGCCGGATCGTTATCCAGTGCGCTTTTAACAGCAGGCGATTGCTGTACGACTTACACAACCAATCGCCTGCTGAGGACTACAAATCTCAGCAGTACTTTATACAGAAATGCTATTGTTATATAAAGTATTGCTGGGATGTGTAGTTCTCTATAGCCTTTGCCATTCTGTATTGCTGTAAATATTAGGGCTGCACCATATATTGGCCGCCAAAACATATTGGCCAAAAATGGCACTTTTGGCATAATGCCGAAAGTGCAATTTTTCTGCTGATACAGCGGTGCATCCGTGCTTTATTTTTTCCCTTATATTGGTGGTCAGAAGAGACGTGCACCCTTACATTGGTGATCATTGGATAACTGCTTCCTTACATTGGTCATCAGTAGCGAGACCCCCCTTACATTGATGGTTTCCTTATAGAGAAGTGTGACCTTAAATTGGTGGTCAATGGAAAAATGCCCTCTTACATTATTTCTCATTATAGATGTGCCCCCCCTACATTGGTGGTCAGTAGAGAAGATTTCCCTTACATTGGCTGTCAATGATAAAGTACCTTCTTACTTCCATGATCAGTATAACTAAGCTACCTGGGTCAGTGGTGCCATTTAATTCTTACAGAATTCCAAAGCTGCTGAGTGGGGCTCTGCCAAGTGATGCCAAACTCAGAGCAACGCAGGAGATCAATCTGTCTGAGCTCTGCATGACCTCTGATGTGTGGTATACCTTATAAAACATAGAAAAGATTGCAGAAATGCTGTTCCTCTTCTTCCCCAATTCAGCAGGCAAGGCTCCTCCTCTGTCAGTATAAATTAAAAATGTCAGCTGGTGTGCAGAGGATAATTGGAATTAAATTCCCAATTACAGATGATCATGTAGTTTAGAGAAAAGAAAGTTTATACTTAATGGAAGTGTTACATTGACTTGTGGTTCTGTTGTAATTGCTATGTAGCAGAAAGGTGTGAATACGTACTCCCCTGTCTGATGGACCCCATTGGGAAATGACAGCACACGTTCCACACTTTATAGATAGCTGTGTCCTATACAGCCATGCACGGTCCTCTACAGAGACCTGATGCCAGTTTAATGTCATTTTGGTTGTTTACAAATGCTGACATATTCCGCATTGGGAAACTAGAAGGGACATTTTTCTACCCTCCGCTGTGCTGTGGGGCTGCACATTCCTCCATCTTTGCCTCATTTCTTCTAAATTAGAAAGAAGCAGATCTCGGCTGTGTGGATGTCAAATTCTCATAACGGCATAAAGAACTGCACAAAAATAGATGTTTAGTTTGCTTTGGTTGGCGCCTAATTCGGACTTAAAGTTCCAGCATATCCTATCCTGTTATAACATCAGACTAGAGTTGTTTTTCATAATACAATCAAAGCTCACTTGAAAAAATCCCTTTTATGTACTGAGATGCTGCTCCTCCATGTGTAAAAATGTTAGTTTCCTGCAGAATCGGCTTGTCCCCTGAGCAATAGGATATCCTGCAATGTCCTATGGAGCTACCTTGTGTGTGCTAGTAAGCTCTTCACAGACACATGGTTACAGCAAGGCATACCTCTCCCTGCTTCCCCTCCTCCTTCCTCTTGTTCCTTGCTTTCCCCTCCCTTCTTTAGACTAGTAGATTGAATGCTGCTGGAGATTGTGCTCTGTCCCTTATGATCTAGTACTGGACAGGAAGTTCAGGGTATTGGAGCTGAGAGAGTTGGAGCTGTTTGGAAACATGATGACTATAAGTGTTTGGGCGAAAATGTAAAGAAATACTTTGCTGGGCGACGTATATTTGTTTGATTTGGATTCAGTATTGGGAAAAGTTTGAGAGTTTACTACTACTTTAAGCCTGACTTGACATCCCTGGAGCATGAGATAAGACACCATTCCATCTGCAAATAGCAGATTTTAGTTTTCATCAATAACTGCTGGTCCACTTCTCAGTTTCATTTCAGGAGGCACTTCAGGCTCTTTCAGGCAGTCTAATATGTTAGTTCCGGGTTGGTTGAGGGGGATGATGGAAATGTAATATAAAAAAGAATAATTGGCAATAACATATGGTAATCAGCTCTATTGTCAGTAGATTATCCTTTCTGGATCTTTCATATTTACCATTCATGAGAGAAATTGTCAATCACCACAAGCCATCTTCTAATACAAATGCTGGTGGACTGGCCGTAATGCTGATCCTACAGCTTCACAACTTAGTAAATGACCAAATTAGCAACAAGCATGCTAGCCAGGAGCTCTAGGCTGGCCATACATTAGTCATTTGTATGGCCTTGAATCCCCCACTTAAGGTGCCCATACACTTTACAACCATCGCAAGACCTTAGTCTTGCGATGATTGTAAAGTAATTAAAAAAACGTACGATCTGCCCATCTTGGACAGTCAGATCGTACTCTCGATCATCGCAAGCCCACCCCCCTGAGGGGCGGGCTTCCGAAGACCGCAATTCTGAACGGGCAGCGTGCGCACACCGGCCCGTTCGGCATTTGTCTCCCGAGCACCGTTCAAACCAGCCGAAAATCGTACGATTCTCGGCTGGTTTTCTAGCGTGCTCCTTAGACAAAAGACGTGCGACGGTACAGTAGAAACGGTCGCACGTCTTCGTTCACACTGCTCGATTCTCGTACGATCGCGGGATTTCCCGCGATTCTCGTACAAGAATCGAGCAGTGTATGGGCACCTCTACACTAAACAGCATGGGCGGAGAAATCCCCTTGCCGGGCTATAGTATTCCGATAGCAGTGGGTGTGCTGCTCTCAGAATACCTGCACAGTGATTGCAGCTGATTGCTTAACCGATGATATTCGGCCCAGCTTTTTTGACAAAAGTCATTTAAAAAATCAAGGAGTGGGGGGTCGCAAGGGGGTCGCACAATGGTCATATTGACTTGGCTGAAATTCAATCAGTGTATGGCCAGCTTTAGGTGGCTGCATACTTCTTCAAACCAGAGACTCGCTTAGCATTGAAGCTGTAGGACCAGTATGCACACCAAGGAGTTGCCATCATAATAAGGTCGGTAAGTGCAGCTCATGTTACACAAAAAGTTGATTCCATATGTTGTTGGCATAGGCGTGTGCATGGGGTGTGCTGGGTGTGCCTGGGCACACTCTAATCAATCAGAGCGCAACACCGAAACCGCAATATTAAGCACCATATTTTTAGTCACTGAGCCGATGGAGAGATCACAAAGATCTCACTGTGACTGGCTCAGCGATACAGAGCGTAGAAGCACTTGCCACTTACATTCCTCACATAGCAGTCCTCAGTGAAGCTTCCCAGGCTTCCGATCCAATCAGGAAGCCAAGTGGGTGGTCACATGACTACCTGCCAGACTCCCTGCTTCATTACTGCACCCCTGCTGGAAGAGGTTAGGGACAGTTGAAAATATGTAAATCCGGGATGCCTCGGGTCTGTATATGTACAGTATGTATTATATATATTTTGTATATATATACTGTATAAGTGTGTGTTTGTTTGCACACCCTAATGCAGTAGGCTGAGCACGCCTATGATTGTTGGTAATATTTTACAATGGATCACGCAGTACATGCTCTCTATCCCCCACAGGTACTGACTAGTGATGAAGCGAACACCCCCCTGTTCGGTTCGAATTCGAACTTTAGAACATGGAAAAAGTTAGACAGTTTACAATGGATCATGCAGTACATGCTCTCTGTCCCCCACAGGTAAAGACCCCTGCAAAACCTCTGAACATGGCTGTGAGCATCTGTGCGTCAACAATGAGAATTCCTATATGTGCAAATGCTTTGAAGGATACCAATTAGCAGAAGATGGAAAACGATGTCGAAGTGAGTACGGAAAATGTGGAAGTTTTGATGTACGTGTTACTGATAAAGCTGGCTGTGGTCATACAGATATTGTAGTTGGGTTATGGACTGAAGAAGAATACAGATGTGTTTTCTCTCCACCTTTATTTGTCCATTTTATGAGTTCATATAATCATCCATGTGCATGGTCCGTGACAATATAGCTACATTGTTCTCTCACTGAGCACGCTCTATGTTGTGGATTGCAGTTGGCGTCCCCGGTTCGAATCCCGGTCAGGTCACTATCTGCAAGGAGTTTGCATGTTCTCCCTGTGCTTGTGTGGGTTTCCTCCAGGTAATCCGGTTTCTTCCCACACTCCAAAGACATGCTGGAAGGCGGGGGGGTGCGGCCCACACCCCAGTGCCACCATTGGAGGGGTGACACCAAAATGACTGACAGTTATTTTGGTGTCGCCCCTATGAAAAACTAGATCCATCGCACTCCTGACCGCTTGTCTCCAAAGGAAATCAGACGGGTGCTGCGGTGATCGACGGATGGCAACCGTCATACAACAGTAGAAGCAGGGACTCCGGCACTCCAGTATAAGCGTAAAAAGACTTATTTATTGAGAAGGTGCCACATATCACATTGACGCCTGCCGGCGGCCATCCTGGTGATGGACGCCTGCAGAGAGAGGAGGGAACGTTCACCCGGTGGGATGAGGTATGCCACCGGGTCCCTTCCTCTCTCCTGATACTGTCGGGCTCTCGGTCTGTGACCGAGTGCCCGACTTTTCATAGGGGGTAGAAGCAGGGACACCGGCACTCCAGTATAAGCGTAAAAAGACTTATTTATTGAGAAGGTGCGACATATCACTTGTGTAAATTGCCAGTGCTATATAAATACCTGTAATAATAAAACAAGAACAGGCTCTGTCCCGTCCGCCCCTCCCCCAGCCATGGCCCCAGTTGGTGTGACCGTTCTTTCTAGTCCAAGACCCGTGGGCAACTTCCTCTTTGACATAGCAGTTTTTGTCATACCTCTGCCAAACCATAGGTCAGGGGTAGGCAACCTCGGCACCCCAGCTGTGGTGAAACTACAAATCCCACAATGGCTTTGTCTCTGAGAATTGCAGTCGTGACTTGCAATGCATCATGGGACTCGTAGTTCCATAACAGTTAGAGTCCCAAGGTTGCCTACCCCGGCTTTAGGCATTTCTCCAACAGTTGAAGACGTGCAGGAGATTGCTGTGCTGTTGCTAAGAAGAGGTTCTTTTCGATAAATGCAGGTTGGGACATTGAAGGTTCATTGTATGTACTCGGTCCACTTGTGTCTTCCTGAGCCCCCAACTTTGGAGAAAAGGGGAGTTCTCCTTTAATATACATCACCTTTCCACGTACTCTAATGGCTGGGGGTCCCAGATCCAGCAATCCCATCATTAATATGACCTTCTACATGGAGGACAGAAGGAGTTAAAGCCCAGGAATTGCACAGTAGGATTTGTCTGCGCTGGCAAACCAGCCGACACAAAGAATACAAATCAGAGCGGAACAGTTGGTGAGAAATTTTGGAAACATAATCCGTTCCTGTGTGCAGCTTAATGCTCCGGCGATCCCAGGAATCTATATGATTGAATGAAGCTTGGCAAGTGATTACATTGGGGGCAGGGAGGAATCATTCATGATGAGTCTGGCCCGTGGAGGGGAAGGAGCGGGGACGCTCAGCACAGTTCACCCTTTTCCAGACCTTTGCTGGATGTGTCACTCTCACAGCTGGGACGTGACTCCAGGCGCTCTGACGGATAATGCCGCCTCATTCAGGGTGATGGTGTGAGCTGCGGCATCTGTTACATTGCCGAGCGGCACATCTATTTTTTATCCAAAGTTTCACACATTGCAATAAAATAGATCTGCAGACACAAGCACATAGCAGGTTGGGTTCTCTGTTTTTTTCCCTTAAAGAACAATGAAACACCTTACCCTTGAAGTGATGCTACTGCAAGGGTTAAGTGCTCTTTTTGTCTAGGACAGTGGTGGCAAACCTTGGCACTCCAGCTGCTTTGGAACTACAAGTCCCATGAGGCATTGCAAGGCTCTGACAGCCACAGATATAACTCCCAGAGGCAGATGCATGTTGGGATTTGTAGTTTTGGCACAGCTGGAGTGCCAAGGTTCGCCACCACTGGTCTAGGAGGTTCAAATAAAACCAAAATCCTCACTTAATCCTCGGTCCCGCTGGGCTGCTAGACGCGTCCCCACAGCCTTTTCTCCCCTGGCCTCCAGTGGTCACCTGTTCTGGCTCACCTCTATCCCCCTCCAGCTGTGGCATATCCCTCAGCGTCCTCACGTCTAATGCAAGTCAATAGACCTGCAGAGGTCCTTAGCCTGCCGGTGCCCAGGGGAAAAGAGGCTACAGGGACCACAAAGAGTGCGTTCCAGAACGTTTGGCACGCACGCACTTTTTGCAAGACCGCAGTGGACTGGAACGCAGGCACTAATGTGCCACGTATTGGGGTGCGGGTGCAGGAAGCTGGCTGGGTTGCGTTCCAGTACATTCCGGAGGCCAAACGCTCTGGAACGCACTCTCTGTGGTGTGAACCGGCCCTGCAGATCAGGTGAGTATATCATTTTTATTGGAGCCCCCTAGACAAAAAGAGCACTTAACCCTTGCAGTGCTGCGAGGTAGACCCACTGCAAGGGTAAGTTTTTTTAATTCTTGGAGTTCTTCTTTAATCCTTCAGTGGTCAGAGGTCACTGAAACCTAGATAGCGAAAGCTGGCCATACACTACTAGATCTTCTACCGTGTTTCCCCGAAAATAAGACAGTGTCTTATTTTTTTTTTTCACGAAAAAAGACACTAGGTCTTATTTTCGGGGGATGTCTTACCTGGCTGCAGCTGTCCGCTCTGCCGTTCATTACCCCACCCCCAACTCTGTATTCTGACAGCCGGCACCCATCGCTATCACAATACTGCAGTCACTGGCCGGATATTTTCAGCCTGACACCTTCAACAAAACTTGACTCAGCAATCAACTGTTGTCGAGCCGGCACAGCCGCACACTGTGATTGGCTGGATTTGGTAACAGTGTATGGCCGGCTTTATCAGCATCAGTATACATTGGTCACCTCTAGCCCAATGAATTTTCGAGGGGCCCCTTGGCTTTTATATGTCGTCAGTCTTCTGCGTTTATTGCACATTGAGTGGGAGAATCACGATTATGCAGAGAGAGAGAAAGAGCCTAGAGCAGCATTTTCTGCCAGAAAGGTGTCTATCAGCCCTTCTGTTACCTTTGTCCATCCAAGCAAGATTGTTAAAGCTGCACTCCAGGCCGCCAGCTACATACACACATTAAACCCACATTTAGGAGCTTTTTTTACCTTACAAACGTTTTATATTTCTGTCCATCCACTTCTGCAATATACACAGCTCTGCAACACCACACAACCATGATGCCTTCCCTGCCAGACCTGATTTCTCTCTGCTGCAATGAAATAAAATGGACAGGCCTTGTCCCTCCCCCGCCTGTGACTGGACATAAAGGAGAAGCAGCAGACTGATGATCTCACCTCTCTGTCACTCTGCTTTCTCCTTCTATCAGTATGTTCCTTGTTAGCACATGAGCACTGCAGGGAAACTGATTGGATCCTTGTGCTGTTTTTCCTTCTCCCGGTAGAGGTGCCGGGAGTCAGAATGTGACGTCACTCTGGTCCAGGCCCCTCTATAGGACTTGTGAGGGAGCTGTAAGCAATTCTCGTATGGATGGAGCTCCCTCGCAGCCATAGCTCCAGCCCACCCCACCTTAGGCTCAGGCCGGGCAGCATATCTTGAATGGCCGCTTGGCAGGAGAACCGACAGTGCTGTGCTAGGGGGAGGCTGAGGCGTCTCTCACCTAGAAAAGTGGAAGCAGGCCCGGATTCCCCACAAGGCCACCGAGGCTGCAGGTCGCAGAGGGGCGGCAGGGCACAGAGGGGCGGCAGCGGTGTCCTTGTGGGGAAGTTGCCCTCTCTACATTCAGTCCTGCTTTGCACTGTAACACTGCCGCTCCGTGTAGACTGTAGACTGTGAGAGGGGAGAGTACTGTGCTAGAACTCCTGTATTGGCGTTCACAGGGTCAATAAAGAGAATCTGTCACCTCCAATTGCTATCACACAGGGGATTGTTTTCTCCTGTGTGATAGCAATAAAGTTAGGTGGGAAAAAAATGATTTTTAAAAAAAATTATATGAAATAATGAAATAAAAAAATTAAAAGGTGATTAAAAAGTAAAAAATAATGAGAAAAAAATTATTAAAAAATAAGAAAATAATTATAAAAAATAAACAATAATAAGCAACGGGAGGGGGGCGCATCGCAGAACCTGGCCTTGGGGCAGCAGGGAGACCAAATCCGGCTCTGAGTGGAAGGCATGTGGCGACCCACTGAACATGGGGTCGCGACCCACTATTGGTTCACGACCAACCAGTTGAGAACCAAGGCTCTAGAGAGGCAGAGTCAGCTATCAATCAGGTAGCGGGATCTTTTCTGGTTGCAGCACAGCTCTGTGCTACACAGCATACACAGTGGCAGGCGGTAGCCCACTATATACTGAGTTTTGGATCACAGGGGGACATTAGTAATTTTGCTTTCAACCCCCTGTTACTTTTCTCAGTGGGTTACGCTCGATCACCATAGTCACATGACCAGCAAATCCAATCTTGTCCTGCTGTGATCTGCCACCCGCCGCATGCTGGGTCCCATGCCTCCATCTTGTTCCTTACATCAGGAGCCAGCTGTCTCTTCCTGGTTTTTGCAGCTGATGATGCATTGCTGGGTATACCCCCCTGCAGCTTCTTTATGGACGCCGCAGTATGGATATCCCAGGAGGTTGCTGCAGCAGGGCTGACGTCATCCTGGCCTTGGCAAGAATGGAGGCAAGGGGCACGTTGGTTTTCTTTTGCTTCAACAAAATTTGCATAGATCTTTCACTAGGACATTGTGTGAGTTGAGCTGCTCAGTAAAGGAACTCTGGCTTGATATGTGTCTCAGCAGCACACTCTAGCGGAAGGTGATGGTATTGCACTTACTATTCAAACCATAGCTGCAAAACTTAGATCAGGGGTGGGCAACCTCCTCACTCCAGCTGCAGTGGAACTACAAGTCCCATGAAGCATTGCAAGACCCTAGCAGCCACAGGCATGACTCCTAGTGGCAGATGCATGCTGGCATTTGTAGTTTCGGCACAGCTGGAGTGCCAAGGTTGCCCACCCATGGTTAAAAAAGTTAAAGCAAATACAATACAATATAATACGATGTAAGCAGACCACTAATGTTGCCTCTGCAAAAGCAGACCACTAATTTTGCCTCTTTCTACCGATTCTTCCAGGGTGTGGAGAAGGACCCGTGGACTTAGTGTTTGTCATCGACGGATCGAAGAGTCTTGGCGAAGACAATTTTGAAATTGTAAAGCAGTTTGTAATTGGGATTATAGACTCTCTGGAAGTCTCACAGAAAGCTGCCCGTGTGGGTTTAGTACAATATTCCACTCATGTCCGCACAGAGTTCACCATGGCCCAGTACAGCTCGGCCAAAGAGATGAAGAAAGCCGTCTCCCAGGTGAAATATATGGGCCGAGGCTCCATGACGGGACTGGCCCTGAAACTCATGTATGAGAAAAGCTTCTCGGAGGTTCAAGGTGCCAGGCGACGCTCCATGGGTGTCCCCAGGGTGGCTATTGTGTTTACCGATGGCCGAGCACAAGATGAAGTCACAGACTGGGCAAGCAGAGCCAAAAAGAGCGGTAATATAGCTTTTCTGTCATCAAGGACAATGTTTCCATTGACATGATTTCATTTTTTGATTTATTTTGATGTATCTTTTGCTGATGCAGCTACAGACAGGGCTGAATGTACTGTAAGGCACTAATGGGCCACCGTCCGGGGCAGCACGATAGGAAGGGGGAGCAGGTACCAATGTACAATATTTATCATTTATAACACATAGAGGGGAATTTATCGAAACTGGAGCAGACAAAATCTGGAGCAGTTGCCTGTGGCAACCAATCGGCTTCTCTATTTCATTTTAAAAGTTAATTGAACAAACTGAAGAGAGAAGATGATTGGTTTCTATGGGCAACTGCTCCAGATTCTGTCTCCTCCAGTTTTGATACATTCCCCCATTTAGTTTTATTTTTGCCTTCTCTGGTTATTAGTGGAGTCTGAACTGAAGGAAGCATGGGTAATAGGGCATGTTTAGGGGAGTCACAAGGCTATCTGTAACTCAGATACAGTACCCCTATCTCCTCTTTCTCTGTCAGGAGGTGGCCATAGTTGCTTATCTGATTGGTAGATATCGCAGTTCAGTGGTAAAAAAAAAACAGCTTGCTGCCCCAAATAGCAAAATGAATGAATACACGGCTCAAATGTTGGCTGATTTCTGCTAAATTGGGCAATATTTGAGCCATCGGTGGTCCTGTCTGCATCATGCTAAACAGCGTGCATTAAGAAATCGCCACCTCCTGGCTGTTGTATTCAGATAGCCGCGACACCCACAGCTGTCCCAATCAGTGATGGCATCTGCTAGGTTGTAGTAACCGTTCACCCGGCTCCTTCGAATTTGAAATAGAATTTTGTGGAAAGAAGTCGGCTGAACAGTTACTAAAACCATCACTGATCGGGTATGCAGACAGCTAGGGTGTCGTGGCTATCTGAATACAACAGCCAGCAGGTGGTGATTCCTCCATCTACACTGTTTAGCTTGCATAGGGGAACCAGTTGATTTAGAAATCTAGTCACGTGTGGCCAGCTTACCACTGCTTCAACAAAATGCATTGCATTTAAAAGGAAAGGTAACGGAGTTCTAGTGCAGGGCTGGACAAATCCCAGGAGCCGATTAGCTAATGATCCTTTAAAATTACAATTGGCTCCTAACTCTGCAAGGTTTTTCTTTAGTTGTTAATGGAGCTGACTCCTAGAAAATTACCTGCTGGCTCCTAGAAAATGACCTGCTGGCTCCTAGAAAATGTCCTGCTGACTCCTAGAAAATGTCCTGCTGACTCCTAGAAAATGTCCTGCTGACTCCTAGAAAATGTCCTGCTGACTCCTAGAAAATGTCCTGCTGGCTCCTAGAAAATGACCTGGTAGCTCCTAGAAAATTACCTGCTGGCTCCTAGAAAATGACCTGGTAGCTCCTAGAAAATTACCTGCTGGCTCCTAGAGAATGACCTGCTGGCTCCTAGAAAATGACCTGCTGACTCCTAGAGAATGACCTGATGGCTCCTAGAAAATGACCTGACTCCTAGAAAATGACCTGGCTCCTAGAGAATGGCCTGCTGGCTCCTAGAGAATTACCTGCTGGCTCCTAGAAAATGACCTGCTGACTCCTAGAGAATGACCTGCTGGCTCCTAGAAAATGACCTGCTGGCTCCTAGAAAATAACCTGGTAGCTCCTAGAAAATTACCTGCTGGCTCCTAGAGAATGACCTGCTGGCTCCTAGAGAATGACCTGCTGACTCCTAGAGAATGACCTGCTGGCTCCTAGAAAATTACCTGCTGGCTCCTAGAGAATGACCTGCTGGCTCCTAGAGAATGTCCTGCTGGCTCCTAGAAAATGACCTGCTGGCTCCTAGAAAATGTCCTGCTGACTCCTAGAGAATGACCTGCTGGCTCCTAGAAAATGACCTGCTGGCTCCTAGAGAATGACCTGCTGGCTCCTAGAGAATGACCTGCTGGCTCCTAGAAAATGTCCTGCTGACTCCTAGAGAATGACCTGCTGGCTCCTAGAGAATGACCTGCTGACTCCTAGAGAATGACCTGCTGGCTCCTAGAGAATGACCTGCTGGCTCCTAGAGAATGTCCTGCTGGCTCCTAGAAAATATCCGGCTGGCTCCTGGATTCAATATTACTTTCCAGTCCAGTGTGCCAAGAGGACAGCATGGTCCCTCCATAGTCCTATCTACAGTGCTATTCACAGGAATGCAATGAGGATAGACAAATGGGAGCTGTCAGTGCTGACTTGTTTATAAGGGGTGCAGGCTCCAGGGCTACCATGCTGACAGTCTGAGTTACTGACCTGGAACAAGGATATGTGACCTCTGAAAAGTCTGACCTCCAATCCTACTTCAAGGCAAAGCGCAGAACTCCGGAGGATCCTGTAAGGTGACAGCCGAGCTCTTTCAATAAGGATTGCTTCCAGAAGGGCAATGGTAGATTAATGACGACTTACAGTACGGTCTCGCCTCACTGCCTGCTGCCTGAGATGGAAAATGATAGTGTTCATCATCTCACTCGGCTGCTCCGGGAAAGTGAACTCGAGGTCATAAAGCAAAATATATTTTGTGACAGGCGGTAGGAAGTGTGAACATATATCTGTTGAAGGAAAACTCGGGTGTCTTCTCGGGGGACACATTTTTTAGGTTATCATTGTAGTATTGATGTGACACCCCAATGCTGTTCCATATTTGAATTGTATTCTATGTACCAATAAGTCATATTTCCCTGTAGTGGTCATCTATATATCATGGGTGCGTCATAACGCTCATCCAGCTAATGGAGACACGTTTGGTCCGTGTCAGTGATTCATCAGGTAGTGGAGAGAGGATTCAGGGCATGCACCTTTAAAGTGACATTAAAAGCTCCATTCACACCTCCGTGTAACGGGAACACGCGTCGCGTTTGTGTATGTTCTATCACACGTCGCCTATTGATTTCAGCGGGTGCCGCACACAAAAACAGAACAGTAGGTTACATAGCAGAATGTTTTTTTTTTCACCACGCGTTTGTGTCTAAAGGTGCCCATACGCCTTACAATTATCGGCTGTTTTTTGTATGCGGTCGCGCTTTCGTCCGATATTCGTAAGGTTGATGGGCGGAGTACAACCGCAAATACTGTACAATCGTACGACTTTTGACTATCCAGCAGGTTAGAAAACTTTGGACGATCGTACGATTTTCGCAAGCTTGGTGGCGTTTCCGTACGTCAAAATTCGTACGATTTACACTGCTCATGCGCGAACGAAAATAAGTGCGGTCCATTACTGCAATTCGTCCAGGTGATTTTTTTTAACTACAGCTGATTGGACCTTGCGATAATTGGGGCAGGATGGGGCCGCCGTACAGAAATTGTATGACGGTTCGATCATCGGACAAAAAGTTTTGTCGCAAGGTGTATGGGCAGCTTAACGCTCATTTATTTGAAGTTCCTTGTCATATAAACATTTTACATGACAAGGAACTTCAAATAAACGAACATTGTGCTATCCTAAAAGGATCTGGTGTGCTGGTGACATTTCGCTGATATTTGCGGCGCCATCCACAGTCACGGCGAGAACCCCTCCCCCATTACAAGGGACTTTCGGTAAGGAGTGCAGCAAGGCAAAGAAAAGTATCTAACACTCAGCAAGCTTTTTCCCAGCCGTATTTGGGTGATGTTAACAAGTAATGGCACCTGAAGCGTATTGCATTTTTGACGTGTTCCATGAATGCGCATCAGTGCAGGAATTTTGTGCACGTTCATGGAACTCGAAGGTGTGAACGGGGTTTTAAGTTTACGTTTTTTCACCTCCCCAATGCTGGTGTAATGACTTCCCTTATATGATGTCTCTTGATGCATACAACTTCTTCCATCCACCCGTTTAAAGTCGCCCCCTTAGCGCTGGTGCAGCTGTCTGAGGCATCATTGTCTGCTTCTTCTCACGGTGTGTGTGCTCCCAGCTTCACATTGCCTCACTCCTCCTTCTGTCACCCCTGTGTGTGTGCTCCCAGCTTCACATTGCCTCACTCCTCCTTCTGTCACCCCTGTGTGTGTGCTCCCAGCTTCACATTGCCTCACTCCTCCTTCTGTCACCCCTGTGTGTGTGCTCCCAGCTTCACATTGCAGCTTCACATTGCCTCACTCCTCCTTCTGTCACCTCTGTGTGTGTGCTCCCAGCTTCACATTGCCTCACTCCTCCTTCTGTCACCCCTGTGTGTGTGCTCCCAGCTTCACATTGCCTCACTCCTCCTTCTCCAGATCAGATTCATTACCCTGCAAAATATTATTTTTACTTTGTGCCCAAGCACTTACAGCCATCATGTTTCAGAACAGCTGGCTCCAAGTCACTCGGCTCAGCTTGCCTGAACTTCCTGTCCAGTACAAGATCACGATGGACAGAGCAGCCTGCAGCAGCTGTCCATCTACTTCCTTGGAGAATGGAGGAAGGAGGAGCTGGGAGCTGGGGAGTGTCTTGCCTTGCTGTGTCTGTGTGTCTGTCAATATCTAGATGTATCTTGCTGCACTCCTTACCCGATAATGTTGGTAATCTGTGGAGTCCAGGTGGGTGCTCGCAGTGACCACAGACGGCACCATGAACTATGCCATCCAAATGCAAGCCCTTCGGGGGCCGCACAGGCTGAGAATGACGAGCCTGATGAAGGGGACCCTGTGCGGCCCCCGAAAGCGCTTGCATTTGGATGGCATTGGTTTGTCAATAAATGGACTCATTTCACTTAACCAATGGTGTGCTGGTGACATCTTTTGAAATCATTGTGTGTTTGCGGAGATGCCCACAAGGATGGCTCCATAGGACCCTGCAAGGGAAAGGAGCCGCCCTAAAACAGGGTATCATGACCAGCAGGAAATGAAAACTTTATACATCAAGGAGCAGCATCCATTGTAAGTGATTTCATCAGCATCTGAAAAAGCTTAAAAACATTTTGACTTTAATATGACTGTAAGGGTATTGGGCTGCTGTCCTGGAATGGCTAATATTGTAGCCGGCCTTCCCTCCACATCGTGTCCCCTTGTAGCTGCATTGATCACAGTGGAAAGGTTCTGTCATCCTAGATTGCACAGCAGACCATTGGCTCCTCTCATGGGTGGCCAGCACAGGTCACTCAGAGGTTGTTGTGGATTTAATGGCCATGATGTCATTATGCGGTATTCTTTTTGTCTCCTTCTCAGGCGTCACCATCTACGCTGTCGGTGTGGGCAAGGCCATTGATGAGGAGTTACGAGAAATCGCTTCAGCTCCACATGAGAAGCATGTGATTCACGCTGATGACTTCAGCTCCATGGGATATATCACTGAGAAGTTGAAGTCCAGCATCTGCGAAGGTACTGCCATACATTATAGATGGTGGGGATTGTAGAACCCACCCCCATGGACCTGTCAGGACCATAACATTGATGAGACTTTGATGGACCTCCAGCAGCTTCTTGTCTGTTTTGTGTTATGTAATGACAGTGAGGTATGTGACATCTTCATCAGGGCAGGCAGAACGTAACCCAAAGCCATCAGGTGATCACATTCATTGATGTCTCTTATTAAATGGGTAATCTGTTTTGGGCGGGCTCATCCATCAACCACCATTCCCAGGTTTGCATTAGTTGATCCTACTCAAAATGAGGAATTAAAGCGGAACTCCAGCCACAAAAACTTTACATATTTTCTTCCATAGCATATAGATCCACCTTATGTGCACCAAATGTCATCACTGTGCTGCAAATGGCCTGTGCAGGGAGCATAGCTGTGGGAGGAGCCCAGCAGGCCCTGCCCACTACAGGCTGCCTTCACAAAACTGCAGAAGGGGCGGAGACCAGACCAGTCACTCTGCACAGTGTAGATAAACCCTAACAATGGACTTCTCCTATTTGCTAGCTTTTGGCCTGTTAAATATACCAATAAAGCTGTTGATCCTGACAGAAATCCAGCACTGTCCTGTGCACTCTGCAATTTTATCTCAAACAATGTTAGAACTTGAGAACATCTCCCCACCATGTTATAGAGATGAGGAGAGGTGTTCTGTAGTCCTAACATATTTTTCTCCTAGGGTGGCAATTGTGCTGTGAATGTTGACACCCTAGAACAGGAAGTGTGTTACTGGCAGGATCACCAGGTGGAAATAATGGGGAAAAACCTTAGAACAGTAATGCAGCCACCACGTCTAAGGACTGATAAGTTGCAATATATGACATTTATGTAGCGCCCTCTAAAATGTCGCTATTCAATTTAGAGATACCTGGACTGTAACCAGTCTAGATACTGATTATACTATATTCTTGGGTTTTCAATATACAGTGACAGGGGTTAAATACAGAGTTTTTACCATTCACCCGAGGTGAACAATCTTTGCTCCGAGTGCTCCTTCTTAAGCTTATTTTCACTAAAGTATTGATCATTCCCAATTCTATACAGTGCATCATGCATCAGATTATTATTATGGATCATAACAAAGTTATGGCGTTTAAACTCACTGGGGAGCTGTATGGGTAAAAATATGGCGATGCGGTTGCTGATTTGTTTCTTAAAGTGCAAGCTCTTGGGCTTTAATTCCAAGTAGATCACTGACCTGTAACAAATATGGAGGATGGGAGTTCACTGGCAGCATGCTTGTTCCAAGTAAGTCACTCACTAGGTAGGAAAGCCTGGACGAGGAGGAGAGCCACGCAGCTTGCTCTCCAGAAATCTAAACTCCGGCCCAAATGTTTCTGAATCCTCTGACAGGTTTATAAGTCTTTGTTACTCTTCTGGGGAGATTTCCCTTCATAGCACAGTGGTGTAGTGGTTACCGCTTCTGCCTTGTGGCACTGGGGGTCCCTGGTTCCAATCCTGGTCATCTGCAAGGAGTTTGCATGTTCTCCCTGTTCTTGCGTGGGTTTCCTCCGGGTATCCTGCTTCCTCCCACACTCCAAATACATGCTGGAAGGTTAATTGGCTCTCCTCTAAATTGGCCCGGCAAGTATCTATGCTAGATAGGGACCTTAGATTTTAAGCTCCTTGAGGGCAGGGACTGATGTGAATGTGCACTGCGTAAATTGTCGGCGCTATATAAATACCTGTAATAAATAAATACATTTATTATCCCTGTGATACAAGAAATCAGAGGACCGGGATCAAAGGGACAGAACAATAAAATAAATATCACAGAGGTTCTAGCCCTTCCCAACTCTACTAAAAGGTGTCTCTGCCTGGTTAGATTTCCCCTCACTTCCTATTCCTGAGACAGGAAGTGAGACGAAATCTCTTTCATAGTATACAGACAGCAATACATTTCTGAACCAGGTTCTAATACTTCCCTACCATATCAAATGTGTGCCTGGAGGCGGGCTTTAAAGACAGCAATCATCTGTCTAGTCCAGGACTAGGCAAGTCCGGCCCTCCAGCTGTTTTGGAGCTACAAGTCCCATGAGGCATTGCAAGACTGGCAGTTACAGGCATGACTTACAGAGACAGGCATGTTGGGATTTCTAGTTAAAGCACAGCTGGAGGGCCACTGTTGCCTACCTTTGATCTAATCTGACAGGTTCCCTTTAAGATGGCAGATCAGAAGATGTCATACAATGAGTCACATAGGCATCAGACAGAACCTTCCCTTCACGGTGAGCCATCTAGTGGCCAATTGCCAGAACATGGACCAGAATACGAGAAGTCATTTAATGCTTGCAGATACAAAGTGACTAACACTCATTTCTTTTCAGGCTGGACCAACTGGAAGGCAAATACTGAAATATCTAATGAAGGTGAGCGCTGTGCTCTGTTATATTTAAAGTGTATATAAACCCCCCACCTCCTAGAATGACAGGACACTGACCTGTAAGGTGATGGGACTATACTGGAACGTGACCCCTCATTTTATTAGTGATAGAAATCATTGCATGTTACAGTGTATGTGAATGAAATAAACACAAACATCTGGTACCACCCCTAAGAATATCGCACTATTTAGAGCAATCAAAACACTGCAAATACCTGTTTTATCCCATTGTCTGTGGTCATGTGACTGATTGGTCACCTCTTCTCGGAGGGCTGGAGTTGGAGACTGCTTGGCTGTCAAGTCTAACAATGGAGGGCTGGATGGGGAAGGAGGGGGGAGGGGGCATGGTGGCTCTGTTTTAGGCGCAGCATCCTGAAGTCAGCCAAAGTGATGCAAACTAACCACAGTAGGACGGATGTGCTTCTGTGCCTAGTGTGGTCATTACCAAAGAGGAATGCGTTTTGTACTAAGGGGAATGACACGATCACCAGGTATATTATGACTCTACCACCTCTCATACACATTGCAGAGATTGCTCTGAGCTTACAGAGAGACAAAGCAAAGAAGTCCCAAACTTGTTTTTTTTTTTAGGTTCAAATATATTTCAAAAGTAGTTGATCTGGCGTTACTGTCTGATTCGCAGAGGCACTCTCCATAAAAATGTGTTGTTTGTGGTGTATATTCACCTGCTTCATAAACAACAACTGGTCCACAGAGGTTCCAATGATTGGAGCTGATCCGTAGTGTCTTCAGTTACACTTTGCACTTATGTTTTTACCCAGAAAAATGACCCTTCCCAGCAAGCAGATCTAGACTCCACGTTCAACCATTCTCTAAGGGCCAATGATACCTTTAAAGAGGACCTAAATCATGGAGTAAGTTTAGGTAACCCTCCTGCCTTGCTGCTCCCTGCCCAACAGTGTCCTCCATTACCTCTTGGCTGGAAATGGCTCCTTCCAGGTCCCACAGGCCTGGTGACTATGTGATCCAGATCTGGGCCATGTTGAAGAGCCCATATTTTTTGGGACACGGAGACACTGCTTGGCTGTGGGTACGTGAGCAACTGACCCCTCACAAAGATCCTGGCCCCTGCCGTGGTATAGACCTGGAACTATTGGGTAAGCTGCAGGCTGATGGGAGCCTGTCCCAGTCTACATATAACTATTGGAGGGCTCAGTATGTTAGTTTGAATTAGACAACACTTAGTTGTATTTTTGGGTAGTGGAGAGCAAGGGGGACTGGGGAGGTAAAGTATTTGTACCTTTAAATAAGGACTCCAGATTTGTTCTTATAAAAAAATAGCTTGCACAGAGTTTTTAAAAATAAAAAGCGCAGTTCTCGCTGCAATACCCACGTTGTCTCCTGGGCCGCCTCCAATTGGAATACACTTTCATTCTCTGTGCACATAATGAAATATTCTTTCCCAACAGAATTCTCACTTTGCTTCCCCTCATTCACTAAGATAACAGAAAAATCACTTTGAAAGTGAACATTCTCTACTCCTTAAGGCTGGGTTCACACCTAGGTGTATCAAATATGCGCGTTTGTCGTGCATTTCGTGACGTGCATTTTTACAGCGATTCGCGGTAAAAAACGCGCGACATACGCGCGTTTCCGAGGGCTACTTGGCTGTATCCCAATGGAAACGCGCAACAAAAACTCCCCAAAGAAGCTCCTGTACCTCTTTGGGCGTAGGGCGTTTTGTAGCCCGTTTATACGGCCTGTAATACGCCCAGGTGTGAACCATACCCATAGGAAATAATGGGATTTCGGCGTTTGAGCGTTTTGCAGAGCGTTCGACCGCAGGTGTGAACCGGGCCTTAATCAACCCCAGAATGTACTTACTGACAATGCGCTGTTTTCGGGATGATCCCTAACCGATTATTCTTCTGCTGACCCGTTTGTTCTATTTGGAGGAGAAGCATAGCTGTAGCAATCATTATTGTCAGATGTCGTACCATTGAAACATTTCTGTCTTTCAGAATTGACGTCTGAGTTTAAAGAGAATGGTGAAATCACAGTCTCCTGCTCCATGTCCGCCATCAAATTCACTACACAAGCAGAAGGTGAGATTCCTCATGATTGTCCATTTCTGTATTTCATATATCAATATGCCATATGGTGAAGGAAGCTTCGCACGGACTCCCAGGTGCACATGATATTCAATTCCACCTGAAGCCTCTAGATTTTTCCTTCCAGGCTGATAAAATGTCATTTGTAATGTAAGTTGGTATGTTAAATGGTCTAAAAGAAATGTCATGTACCCCCCTATTTCATGGTAAATGTAGCTGGGAAGCCGGATTTCTCCTGCACCGTTCTGGACAGTTCTGGAGGGGGCGGGAAGGACTGCTCAACATTTCTGTAATCTCCTGCAGATAAAGCAATGTGCTATCAATGTAAAGGGGATTACCGATCAATGTAAAGGGGTTTAGATACAGCTATTCACTGATAGGACTATATCTAAGCAGCATTAAGGGTGACAACACTGCAGTGATTTCACTGCATAAGGAGGAGTGTTGTCACCCTAAGTAGGTGCCTCCCCAATCATTTTACTGGCAGGATCAATGGGTATTTACAAAATATTCCAGGGCATTCTTAGAAAAACAGAAAGCCCAGTCATACTGGTATGGGCAGCCTACATCACATATGTGATTTTATAGTTAGACCATAGTTCTGCTTTAAAGCAGAACCCCAGGCAAATGTTTTCTTCACCCTTACAGTGAGGCTACTAACTTGAATGGGTACAGCAGCCACATCTGAATGGGAACACCTGGGATGTAGGTTCTTGTCGTAGGTATCCCAGAACACAGCATGTGAATGCAGCCTAAGTAACAATAGGATGGGGGTCCTACGGTAATCTACTAAAAGGTTGTGGGAAATCAGGATTATATCATATAGAGGTCTGATGGGTGGATTTGTGTCCCCTTAAGGTGAACTATACCCCCAGAGCAAATGAGAGATTTGGGACCCCCAGGAGCTTTTTGCCATAGGGATGCACTGCAGATATACACATGATGGCACACTTACCTAGCAAAGGGATCCCCTCCAGCAGTGGGATGTCCATACTGCCCTTCATCGCTGTCGCTTTCTTCTTCACCCGGTCTTCTTTCCGGTGTGGAAACTGCAGCCATCTTGATTGACTGAGTCTGGACGACATAACTACTCCCCCCCCGCCCCATGCACACAGAAGTGACTTTGTCACCGCACAGAATCTTGCCGAGATGATACACTGAGCTGTGTGTGAGCTGCCCAATGTACTGGCTGGCAGGCAGGTAGAAGCATCTATGATAGAAGAGATGTCCACAAGCCAAGCAATGGGATATTGCTGTCTCATATCTCACAATGTGGAAGTGACAGCCTGCGTCTAGACAGGACTATCGATTATTACAAGCAAAGTGATACCGCTATCTTATGTTCCAGAATGTGGAAGTGACGACCTGCGTCTACACAGCACTGATCCTGTAATAATGTTGAAGGTGCTAGTTGTCTGGCTGGGCTTGTTTTTTTTTGCACATTCTCTGGCAACAGTGAACTTGAACAACATTGTGAACTGGTTCTGACTTCAGTCTGACTTTCTTTGCTGTGTCCCTTTCAGGTTTAATGGCCCAGAAAGTATTGAAGTGAAGTATTATATGGCCAGCCAGCTATCCTTTCCAGAAAGAAATCAGCGATGGCAGATCACATATTATTTTCTTTTGACAGATTTCCTTTAAAAAGTAAAGTGTGACGGCTGCTAGTTTGGTCACATGGAGTGTGATGTCTAGACATGGCCGTCATCCTAAATGGTACAAATGTATATAACGGAAAACCACCTTCATCATAGCGGCCCTACCTCCAGAGATGCCTGTACTAATACTGCACATATCTGTGTATGTACCACTATGGGCATTGGCCTTTCCAAAAGTAAAGAGGAATACCTAACAGCGCCCAATCAAATTCTTCTGTTAGTAATCTATACTAAACTCCAAACATCATTGCTCTTTGCACTGGGAGTCCTGATTGTCAGGTCCAGACACATCCTTTGTGCAGTCTGTACAGCTGCAATGGGGCCCTCTGGAATTTGAAAGGGGAGCTATTGGCAACATAAAAAATGACACACAGTATATGACGTATTCTGTCAGTAGTATTAGCATTGCAGGTTTTGTTTTTCTGAGTCCCCCCTAACATAGTTTTTTTGCCAGTGGATCCATTATTTTTCACTTCCTGTAACAGGGTGACAACACTCTTCATTCTGCAGTGAAATCACGGAGCAGCACTCTCGTTCTGTGGAAAGGGTAGTCTTGGAGCAAACACATTGAGGGGAATTCATCAAAACTGGAGCAGACAGAAGCTCGAGCAGTTGCCCATGGCAACCAATCAGCATCCACCTTTTCATGTTCAAACCTTAACTGAACAAACTGAAGAGAGAAGCTGATTGGTTGCTAAGGGCAACTGCTCCAGATTCTGTCTGCTCCAGTTTTGATAAATTCCCTCCATTGAATCCTAACTCCAGTTAACTCTTTTCAGCAGTTGCAGCAGCAGATTTCCCTCCACCCCTGTAACCATCACTTTTGCTGGCGGTATTGGTCTGTATGTAAAATATGGAGAGAAATTTAAAAAGGAATAGATTTATGCACTCTACGTGTCCGGGGTCCATTATGGCCTGACTGTGCTTCTGGTTTGAAGTGATGTCCAGCAACTCTATCTATCTATCTATCTATCATCTTCTATCTATCTACCTACCTATCTATCTATTCCTATCGATCTATTCCTCTCTATCGATCTATTCCTATCTATCTATCTATCCTGAATTAGTGTTTGCACTTGGGCATGTGATTGAATAGGGGCCCTCAATTGTTCTGGCACAGGGGCCCTTGATGGTCACCTACATTTTGCAGATGTCATGTTGATGAATTGAAATGCATGTGTGCTGTCTTTTATCTTTTTATTCACCCCAGATATATCCGAGGAGCAGTGCCAGTGTAAGAATATACTGGAGTCTCAGAACAACGCAAATGAGGAAATCAAGCGGCTAAGTCATCAATATATCCTTTCATGCAGATAAAGTGCCCATTCATGCTCGTCCATTGCTGTGCGTTGGGTTGAGGCCTTGCGTTAAGGAAGCCCATTTATTTTAAATGGGCTGCCAATGCACAGGAAAGAACTGTAAAAAAAAAAAGGACTATGCAGCATTTTTTCCAACGCAGTACACAGTAGTGCATTTTCATGCAATCGTGGTGCGCTGCAATGCATGTGTGTCAGAGTCAGAGCTGCATTGCCTTAGAGGGCTATCCGGGCTTTGGGCGTAGGGCATTTTACAGCGCGTCCCTATGCGCTGAAATACGCCCAGGTGGGAACCATACCCATAGGAAATTATTGGTTTTCACATGTTGAGCGTTTTACAGCGCGTAGGAACACACTGTAAAACGCCCAGGTGTGAACCAGGCCTTAGAGTGTTGGGGTGCCAGCCAACATGAATGTCACCCCAATGCACTAAGGCACTATCTTGGGCTAATTCATGTAATGCGTTACGCTCATGCGCGTGTTACTGCAAAACAGCAATCGAGTACAAGTGATTTTGGTATAAAGTAAAAATGATCTCCAGAGCTGTTTCCCTGAATAGATATCCAGTTCTTTTTCAACTGTACAGTTGGATGCTACTAAGGCCCCGTTCACACCTTTCCGTTTTGTCGGGCGTTCAACGCTCTATGAACGCTCTACAAAACGTACAACCATGAAAATCCCATTGTTTTCTATGGGTATGGTTCACACCTTTCCGTATTTCCGCCTGTCTGAACGCCCTACAAAACGGCTGACGCCCAAACAAGTACATGTACTTCTTTGGGACGTTTTGGAGGGCGTTTCCATTGGGATACAGCCAAGTAGCCTTCAGAATCGCGCGACGGTCGCGCGTTTTTTTTACTGCGAATCGCGGTAAAAAAAACCGCGTGGCGGTCGCGCGACAGACGTGCATGCGTAATACGCCTAGGTGTGAACCCAGCCTAAGAGCCCATTCACTTACAGTGCATTGTGGTGCTTGCATGGCACCCCAACACAATAATACAGAAACACTGTGTAATTTACGGCCTCTTCACACTTTTATGCGCTATGGTCATGTACAGTAAAACGCACATTTTACCACACATGGTCGCACTCCAGCGCAACGTGCAGGCCCAGTTTTTGTACTGTTGCCATTGTTTGGCAGTCCATTCTAAATAATACCAAGCAGGCTAATTCTTCAGCGATGTGCAGACCCTTACATACATGTATTTTGCAGAAGCACTAGACAGCCAGAGATCTCTTTAGTGACTAGGGATGTACACATACCGTTTTTTCGGCATCAAGTACCGATATATTTTTTTCGGTACTCGACAATACTGAGTACCAGTGCATTGTGCCCTGATCATCAGGAAGTCGGGCCGCGGATCATGATCCGTCATGAACACTGGCTTCAGAGGCTGCCTGGCTTCCTCACCAAACAGGAATCCGGGGCGGTGAGTCATGAGGTGCCGTCCGGCTTCCTGATTGGTCAGGAAACCAGGCTGCCTTGCAGCAAGTGAAGCTGGCTTCCTAGCCAATCGGGAAGCCGGGTGGCATATCATGACCCACCTCCCGGCTTCCTGATTGGCTAGGAAGCTGGCTTCATTCATTTCTAGGCAACATGGCTTCCTGACTAATCTGGAATCCGGGACGCGGGTCATGACGTGCCGCCCCGGCTTCCTGATTGGCTAGGCAACGTGGCTTCTTGACCAACCAGGGAGGCTGGTCATTACGTGCTGCTCGGCTTCCTGATTGGTTAGGAAGCCAGGCTGCTTAGCAACACGTAAAGCCGGCTTCCTGATTGGATAGGAAGCCCACTCCATGCTCCCTCGACACTGCCGGTCAGAGGGTGACCTCCCTCTGACAAGAAGTCCCGGTATCGGAGGCAAGTATCAAAGCTTTTGGGCAAGTACAAGTCCAAATAACCGGTATTGGCCCCGGTACTGGTATCGGTGCATCCCTAATAGTGACTGATAAAGTGTATTCTGAAGACTTTTCCTAACTGGTTAATATTGTGGCAGCTTTCTCTGATCTGTTGTGAAAGTTTGTCTTTTCTATGCAGTCACACTTGCTGTGGAATAATTTAACAAACTGACTTGTTAAAGGTGTTAGCCTTTGGCTTCTTATATTTCTTGGATACCCGAACAGGATCTCCCTGCCATAATTCTTGCTTCTGTTCCTGTCCACCTGAACCTGTGTGTTGCCTCTAAATTTTGTCTTCCAGCTTTTTGTGTTGCTTTATCCATACCATAAAATATAGCGGGGGGGTGGGGGTTGGGCACCCCTTGTAATGGCCACAGCAGATGTACAGACCCAGGAATTCAATATCTCTCGAGTAGACCACGAGAACTATACAAAGCTGTCAGTTGGTCTAACTCCAAAATATCTCCCAAAAACCGACATCTCAGTCTTGGGTGGACGGACCCTTTAACCCACACATATAGATAGATTCATGCCTGTTTTTATTTCTTCCCTTGACATAAACTTACTAGAGCAAATCACAAGGCGGATGGAGATTTTGGAGAACCGCGTGGGACAAAGATAACAGACTTGATTTCCACTGAACTCAAAGAAGATTCCATGCTCTGAACAATCAGAAATGTATTTTATTTATATTATTTTTAGTTTCAGTCCAGAAACCGAATATACAGAGAAAGTATTTTGTGCCAAGTCTATCATTGAGAATTTTATATGTGAATTTCTATGGGACACAAGAGGGAAAATACAAAACAATTTTATGGACTAAGTCTAGTTTTGTAATTTAAAATGTTCTAGCCCTTCTCACCTTGTTTTATGAAGTATAAATATTAAAATGTGTACGGTTTGTTAAATTGTGTCTGGTTTTAAAATCATTTGACTATGCTTGTTCAGATATTAAAACCCAAAACTTTTTTTGTTAATTATACATAGTGGGTGGAGAAGGGTTACATTTATTACTGCGTCACATTCTGTCCAGGGGATTAGGGATGCACCGATACCAGTGCAGATACTTGGCATTTTCACGAGAACTACCAGGGTTGCAGCTGGGACCTGGCGATGGCGCTCCACCACTGTCCGGAAATCATTAGTCTGTATTGTTTTAGGAAAAACTGTCACATGACAATAAACAAAAATATATCAGTACTCGTACTTGCAAAAATGGTATCTGTGCATCCCTTTATTTATATATATATTTTTTTTTTAATTATAACAGAGATGTACAAATCCCAGGAGCTCCGTGTGCTCCTTTCAAATGACAGCTGCCTCCTAATTTTTGAATTTTTCTCTAGTCTAGTCTTGGAGCTGGAAAAGTATCTGTACTTGTACTGAGTACGGTACTTGGTATCTCAACATCCCTACTGAGGATACCCTGGGTGTCAGGTTATTACAGGGGGTCATGGGGACAGAAAGTAGCAGAGACAGTAATAAAAACCCATTTGGCGAGGGTTTTACTGCGTAAGATGTTAACGCTGTGGGACTGAGTGATGACATCTGCTGTGTTAAGTGTCACAAGCACTCTTTTCTACCATACAGCATTGAAGAAGCATCTTCTGCTGCTGCTTGCAAAAAGTCATGTGGAACTTTGATCGTCAATCCCTTCCTACTACAGCGAGGAACAGCCACCTACAGTGACCATGCGTCCCTCACCTGCTACCAGCTGCTTGGGTTTAGTGAGCCCCTGATGTCGTCTCTTGGGCCTTGTGTTGCCTTACTGCCATGTAGTCACAACATGTGAGGGTAAGAGGTGCCCCCAGCTCACACTCTGCTAAGTGCTCCAGGGCTGCTTGCAGCATGCTTACTGATGGTGCCAATGTCTGCAGCCTGGAATCCGGTTGCCCTCTGCTCCTAGAGTCTATTTGCCCCTATACCCCTCACTGAGGATCTGGCAGGGTCCCACCTTAACAATGTAAGTATACAAGTGGAAGAAGCACCTTTATTTATTTTTTTTAAAGACCCAACAATCAACAATTGGAGGCCCTCTCTAGAACACTGTTCTCACTGGCAGGCCCTGCTCTTCCTGCCATCTTGGCTGTAACTTTACTGTACCAAACCATGGCTGACTGATCAATATTCCTTAAAAGAGATCTTACCATTGCTGCGGTTGATACCTTGATTACAGAACACGTAGAGCAAATGGCTGTAACTTTAAACTTAAAGTTGTGATGGCCTGCTGGAAGCTTCCTGGCCTATCTCTCATATGGGTCTTCTGTCAGTACACATGCATAGGATACTTCAGTTAAAGTGCTTCACCCGTTTTCCTCAGCATTTTCATGAGAACTTCCTCAGCAACAGAAGACTAAGCGAGAAGACTGCAAAGACTTCTCCCTCTTTATCTGTCAAGATACATTCATTTCTTCACTCCTGCACCCTCCACATCAAGACCCTCCAAACATGGCTCCCAGTCCATCCCTAAGGTCTGGGGATCAAAGCCTACCAAATCCTCAGACAAGCCTGCCTCAGCAGGAAGGTGTGATCCCACTTTCCAGAGTAGGGGGGTTTTAACTGACAGGTTGCATCTCAGACACGTGGGTGCAAGAGGTGGTATCCCCAGTGTTGGAGTTTAGCTCCCTGCCCTGTTTCATTTCTCACCTCAAACCTTCCTGTCTCCTGCAGAAATTAGCAGATCACCACTGAGCCCTCTCCGGTCTTCTGTGCTGAGGCGTCATTGCCCCAGGTCCTGTGGAAAAACAGTTTTAAGGATCTGCCCCATCTTGGATGTCAAGGCTCTGAAAGTCTTCATTCAAGGTCAGAAATTCTGCATGGTCTCCACCAGGTCTGCTATTGCCTTCCTTCACCAGAGAGACTATACTTCTGTGAACATAAAGGTAATACATGTCCCCACTTTTGCAGTGCATCAGTATTTCTTATGCTTTAATGTAGGGACCCTACATTGACCAATTCGCAGCCCTGCTCTGCAGCCTCCAGTCTGTTGACCAAGGGGCTGGCCCCAGTATTAGCCCTACTGCCCTCTCATGGCATCCCCATTGTAGGATATCTAGTTCTCCTGTTGAGGGAACAGTCCGTGCTGATGCTGGTGGACAAATGGTTTTGACTGTCAAGGCATTAACACTAGCTCAAGTCAGAGCGTTTTTGCCGCAAGAAAAACTTCAGACTCTCAGATCTCAGTTGCAAGCTCTCCAGTCCAGGAGTCATCTAACTCTGATTCTGCATGAGAGTCTTGGGCCTGATGGCAACCATTCCATTGTGGAACAAATCAATCAGGTACCTGGACTGGCAACAAGGATCAGGATGTCCCTGGAATCAGAGCAGTGCTTTCTTCCCAGCTAATGGAAGATCTTCATGACAGATGCTAGACTATCAATGTACAGAGGAGCCCTAGGCACCCTATCAGTGCAGGGAACTTGGTCATTGGAGGAGTCTCATCTCCCAATCAACATCCTGGAATTTCAGGTTGTTTAGTTGTCTCTATAGTACTGAACCATCCTGCTAGGAGGCCATCTGATCCAGATTCAGTCAACCACCACCATGGTGATGGCATACATCAACCATCAGGGAGGAACCAGAAATCTCAGCGCTGCAAGAGGCAGATTGAATCACGTGCTGGCCAAAACTTAACATTCTAACCTTGACCGCTATGTACATTTAGGTCAGACAACTGGTAGGCAAGCTTCCTCAGCAGACAGCGCCTGGACCAGGAAGTGTGGTCCCTACAACCAGAGGTGTTCAAGGACCTGTCAAACAAGGGAACACTGCATGTGGACATCCTGGCCACCAGGTTAAAAAACATTCTGCACAGATTTCTCCAGATCCAGGGATCCTCTAGCAGAAGCAGTGGATGCTCGGATGGCTCTTGGGATCAGTACACCCTGATCGATGCCTTTCCTCTCCTGAAACATTTTCCTCATCTGCTTTGCATGATGGTGATGGTTCCTGATGATCATTCCGGTGTTGCTAAATGCTCTTGATTGGCCCAGGCAGCTATGGATTGGCAACCTGGTAAAACTCCTGGAGGACAGTGTGTGGACTACATTATCAGATTATTTTTTTTTGCCTCAAGATTTTTAACTACCATCCAGTTTACAGATGATGGCTTTAACAGCATGGCTTTTTGATAAGCAGGGGCATCTCTGAATCTGTGATTCCTAATATGCCGAAGGCTACTCCCTGAATTGTCGATCAACAGAAGTGGAGGGCATACTTTAGGTGCGAGTTTGGGGGCTTCCACCCTTGGATTTTCTCCGTGGGATTATTCCTCTTCTTCTTGTAGCTAGGTCTAAACCAGAGTTTCTGCCCTTTCTATCTTGTTTCAGAGACCGATTGCCTCTCACCCCTTCCTTAAGACATTTCCCTTGTTTGTTCCCGTGTGACTCCATAGGATCTTAAACTGGTTCCCTCTGTGCATCTGAAACTATTAAACAGGTATACCCGTTTGCCTCAATGGACTCCAATGGGATTTTAGGCCAAGTACAAAAAAAACTTAACTAAACCCAAAAACAAAAAAGTTAAAATTTTCAGCAAGTACTGAAGCTACCTGAGCTGATTGAGTGCAGCCACCCTAAAACAGGAAGTGTTATTTGCAGGTTACCAGGTTTGGGAAAAAGAAATAAAGCAACTAGCGCACAGGGCTGGTAAGCTGCAATATATTACATTTGTGTTCTTGGGTTTAGATAAATATTGTGCTGATATAGTTCCAACAGCTTAAACAATGGTAACTCCCTGGTAATGTTTTTAGATGTTAGAAGCAGGATATTGGGCCACACTTATGACTGCGGTATCCCCATTTAGCGACCAAAGCTGAGGTGAAGGAAGAGGTGTGCTGGCTATTGCAGAAAACCGGGTCACAAGATGACTAATGCAACCAGGAGGATAAAAATATACAGCATTTTGATGCACACAGCATATAGTTATTTTTACAGATCTGAACGCATAAGTATTGTATATTTTTTTATTTCAGGAATTTATATAATGCCAACAATTTCCCCAGTGCTTTACATGCACATTCACTTCAGTCCCTGCCCTCAATCTTACAATCTAAGGTCCCTATCTCTCATGCATACATACAAGAGCCAATTAACCACCACCATGTCTGTATGGGAGGAAACTCACGCAAGCACAGGGAGAACATGCAAGCCCCTTGCAGATAATGACCTGGACGGGATTCCAACCAGTGCTGCTTGGCAGAAGCGCTACACTACTGGCAAATGCGCACATCTGCAATATGCACAGTAATCTCACACTGCGTTCAGCTATTTAAAACCAAAGTAGAACACACTGCATCCCACATACACACTGCAGCGTGTGTAATTCATGCATGTGCACATAAATCCAGGTACATGCATATATACTTGGATAGAGGAACAGAAACATTTTACAATTGTCTCTCCACATCTAAATGGAGGCACTTTATGGACCATTAGTATGTTTTTTCTTTTTTCATACCCTCTGCCAGCAACATTATGTGCATATCAAAATTTTTAGATCAAGGTCATCAGATTCAGTGGTGAATATGTTTTAGCAAGTAAAAAAAAAAAAAGGGAGCTCTTGGATTGAAAGTAAACAAGATCCTTCATCTTGTGACTGAGCGTTCACCTATAAAAGTCTAACAGCAGGAAGCTGCACTGGTCTTAAACATAAAAAAGGGGCCAAGAACGTAACAAGTTAACACCAGTGAGAAGATATCCGATAGCAAGTGTAGAATGTGGAAGGGCGAATACAATATATTAATAAGATCCATCTCCTTCTTCTGCTGGTGACATCCAGAGCAAGACTCGGCTCCCCATTTTCCTGCTCTTTAGGAAAATCCATTACAGAATACATAGTCACACAGCCACTGGACCAGCCATCAGTCTCCCCACGAGGATCATTCATATATAAAAATAGAACAGCTGCCACTGCAGAACATTAGAGCTGCCCGGCTGTCACTGATCAAAATGGCTTAAAGTGTATTTCCATTTTTGCAGCCAAAGTGGGATAACACCTATTTTATATTTGTTACACCTTCCCATTCACATAGCACAAGCTAAAAAAAAAAAAAAAGCTTCTTGCTTTTACTTGGGTTAGGAAATCTTGGCTCCTTAAGGGTTACAAATTCCACCAATGCATCCCCCTATGCATGATGATTAATGGTCAGGCATCCCAGTCGGGCTGTGAGGGGCTTCTCCATTATATGTTAATGAACCTAATGGGAGAAACAATCCTCAAATTTCAGTCCTAGGTTTTCTAGGACAGATCACTGTGAAGGTGCTCAAAAAAACACTGGAATCAGCCATGTTGCCTGCTGCAACAAAACATGAGGAAAGAAACATTTTTGAAAAAAAACAAAAACAGTATACGTCAATTTGACTGCAAGAGTGGAAATACACTTTAAAAAGGTACCGTTTGTTCTACACACCAATCGCTGTAGTAACCTGAACACGTCTCATTCCCATCCTATACAATCAGAGTTACATCACAAGGTATCATTTATCATCTAAAAGGGAGATAGAATTTGGGGCAAGCTTCCTAGGTATGATCTTTTAAAGGACAAATCCATCCTTCACACATACCAGTTTATAATCCAGACAAGGAAGACGATTCTCTGTACACTACATAAGAAAACATTTTTACATGGATAGAAAAAGTGACACCACCGCTCATAAAACCACACAAGGCACAACTGGGAAACCAGATATTTATTAACAATTTGATGAAGAAATTTACTTCTCAATGGGCTGCTGTTCTGGCATGCTTCTAATGATGTCGGAATCACCTGCAAGACAAAAGGATGTCTAAGTACAGAATGCAGACTGTATGACAAGACAATCTATTCATACACTACACATGGAAAGCCTTAAAAATACACCCAGCACTGAGATGTTATGTGCTGTCGTATGTCGTTTTTGTACTGAAAATAAACCTTTATATCGAAAAATACACCCAGCAACTACTTCTCCAGTCACAGATTGAGTATAAGAAATAATATGATACCAACAACTGGTATTGTTCAGCGTTTATGCCAGTGCTTTAGTGTTCCTCCTATATTCCAAAGATAAACCGTTAAGAAAACCAACCTCATTTGGCCCTAGAAATGATTTAAGCGCTCACATGCCCATAGCAGGAACATTGTAAGCACCATTGTGGCAGGGACTAAGCATTGTCATGTACTCTAAAAGCACTGATTAATGTGGAAGTAACGAGCAAAAATGGTCAGAAAACCAAATGTACTTGTCTGACAAAATAATGTACTATATAGGGCTGCAACAACTAATCGACATAATCGATTATAATCGATTATTGAAAAAGTATTCTGCTGAGATTGAAGCAATTGGCTGCATTGCTCTACTGAAAATGTCCAATTGTTATATGCTGGTGCAATGGAGGGGTTGAAAGTGTCTAGAAAATCAAAGATAACAAAAAAAAAAAATATATATATATCCCTGTAAAAAGTAAGCACTTGCCCGCTCCTTGCACCCTTTGCCATGTTACTGAAGAGAAATTGCCGCCTGAAGGAGCGGCAGAAAAGAGAGTCATCCGGCAATATCTCTTCAATAGAACAGCGACGGGTGACGCAGGTAGCGAGAGGTGGTAACCGGGTTTATTTCTGTCCTGTTACATGCAATCTAACAGAACCACATTGTAAATCTCCCTGTCTGGCTGCAGAGATATTTCACACAAAGAAACATAGAAGAGTGACAGAGTCCGTGGGTTCCATCGTGTCTGCCCTGTTTTTATACTCAATTATTTTATTCTTTTTTTTCCCTCAGAGTATAGATCCGGTTTTCCCCAAGTTAATTTAAACTTACTGTTGACTGACCATCCCTGCTGGAAGTCTATTCCAACCATCAACTACTCTTTTGGGGTCCTGTCCATGCGTTCTTCATTTCAACATTAAAAATACTGCCCTCCTGAACCTTACATAACTTCGGGGAAAATTATTAACTAGGGGTGCACCGATACTAGCATCAGTGCCAATGTTGAGCCCAAATGCTCCGATGCCTAGCCAGATACTTCCAGTATCAGGAAGACGGGCAGGGAGTCCTTACACGTTGCCCGGATTCCTGATTGGTTGGAAAGCTGGCCAATCAGGAAGCAGGGCACCGTGTAATGACGCAACCCGGCCTTTCTCATTGGCCGTGAAGCCGGCTTCATGCTCCCTCGTCACCTCATGCCAAGGGAGCATGGAGCCTGCTTCCCAACCAGTCATTACACAGCGCCCAGCTTGCCGATTGGCAGAAAGCCAGCTCCATGCTTTCTCGTCACCTAGTGACAAGAAGCATGGGGCCGGCTTCCTGCTAATCGGGAAGCCAGGTGGTCTGCTTTAATGTATACAAAGGTTTTAGTCACGTTCATCATTTCCCTGCTTCGAGACTTTACACAAGGTTTCTGGAGTTCTTCCCAATGTTTTATCCCTTAGATCTTTCACCATTTTTGTTGCCCATCTATGGACTTGTTCTAGATCTTTGTGAGCTTTCCAGAACTGGACACAGTCAGCCACGTTCCTTAAACACATCAGCAACAAATTGAAAAGCAGGCAGGTGACTTCTTCAAAGCATGTAGATACACCAAGGCCTTCTATAGGGCTCATCAACCTCAGTCTCCTGGCCGGTAGATGAGCCCTATAGACTTCTATAGTGCTGCAGACGCAGCAGTGAGGGGAGTTCAGCGAGATGTAAACAATCCTTGGGAGGCACAGGCAGCTGATCTTGGCAACTATAAACCTGTAGAGGGTGGGCTCTGATGTTAAGGGGAGGGCAGAAAGAATAATTGCATTTACTCTTTAATGTGTTCGAATTGATGAATGTCCTGTATGGTTTCAATTGGGTCTACCTAGATCTCTACAATATGCTGCAGTGAAATGATAAAAACCGCCGCACTATTCCTGCCACACAGGCAAGCTACCTTCAGCTGACCCATGGAAACAGCACCAGGCAGGGGACTTCAGGAGATAACACCCCCTCCCCAAGAGGCAAAACGAGGGGGGGGGCAAGATCCCAGCAAACAGGGTACCTCTGGGAGGAACTGACCAAGCCATAGGCAATCCACAGCACCGACGCAGAGGGGGACTGCTGACCCCAAGGCCATCCGGTCAAGGACAATAAATGTTGCGCAACTGGATGGTAAGAAAAAAAAACCTGGAGAAATGAGGGGGTGGGAGGCTTTGTTTTTTTAAATAATTCTGATTGTGTTCCCTGTAGATGGAAGAGCCAATCATCTGTCAGGCTGCTCTCCTGGAAGATTATTGGGGACATTTCTGAATTACAGAATGGGAGCTCACATTTTAATGTACTTCCCTCATATTAACAATACGCAAAATCCCCAATGACGCATGTCAATGACAGGACGAACTCAAATGGCCAGGCAAAGCACACACAGTTGTGCTCGGGGGACTATTTTCAGCTGGAGGCATCACATGTAACTAGCTTTTAAGAATCAGAACTGCAGAAGGAGCAGTGCCGAGGACACAAACTAGTTTTAATCTAGCGAACGTCTAGCCTGAACTGATCACGGCAGATCAATCCAGCGAGAATATATTCGCATATAGGAAGGCACCTGCATGCAGAGACCAGAGATATATGTGACCAGTACATACCTGGATCAATGATCGCCAGTGTGCACACTCTGTAGTATTTACCGCAGGCTGTACCAAGTTCAATGTTGTTGCCGCTGTAGTGGTGGACTCCGGTCTTTGCCAACATTGCATAGTATTCAATCTCTGATTTTCTGTGGAAGAGGCACGCTGTACATTAAAATCTCACTGAAAAAAATATATTGTATACAAAACAAAAACACCAAAATGTAGTCATATGCACCAAGGTGAACCATTCTATACTGAACTAAATACAATGCTTCTAAGGCATCACACACAAATGCCATTATTCCCTCTGAAGGGTTTGTTTTGCCGGAAATTGAAACAAATGTTGCAGCAAGCAGGATTTTTTTTTTCTTAAAATATGGAATGTTTCACGAATTTGCGTGTCATCCTTGCGCAGGGGCCATGCTAATCTTCTCTGTATCGTTCCAATTTTAGTATATGTCCTGCCAAAGCGTGGACAGGATTTATTTTAAAAAATATGCTCCCAAAGACAATTCCTGTCCTCAAGAGTAAAAAAAAATAAAAATAAAAACCGGACCTCAGTTTATTAACAGGTCTGTGCTGATCAGATCTCCATCAATCAAAATGGTGCCTTGAGACCCTCTAAACACGAGACGCCTGAAGTATACACACAGAGACCTGCACAAAAGTCAACACTAAGAAACACCCCAAAAGCAAAGCAAGCAGGGATCCAGCCACCTACTGACAAGCATCCTGTATTGTGGGATGTGGTGGGGAACCCATCAGAGCCAACAGTTCTGAAATTCACAAGCACTTAGGTCTCGCTCACACCTAGGCGTATTGCATATGCGCGACCGTCGCATGTTTTTTTACCGCGATTTACGGTAAAAAAAAGTTGCGCGACCATTGCGCGTTTCCGAAGGCTACTTGGCTGTATCCCAATGGAAACGCGCAACAGAACGGCCCAAAGTAGTACCTGTACCTTTTCAGGCGAGGGCCGTTTTGTAGCACGTTAGGGACGGGCGGAAATACGCCAAGGTGGGAACGAGACCATTGAATACAATGGGATTTATATTACAGCGTTTTGTAGAGCGTTCGTCGAGCGTAGAACGCGCTACAAAACGTTCAGGTGTGAACGAGGGCTTACTACATGCAAACTGCAGAAAAGCAATAATCAAAGCCTGGTACTTCCAACTCAAAGCTATTGTTCTGTCAAGTCCGATCTAAAACAGAACCTGCACTGCAATCTGAAGTTTTAACATTCTTGAACATACTCCAAACACCAACCAGCACCCCTTTCTCATTTCTTACTGGGGCCAGACTGTCTTCATGGCTAAAATCTTCCAAACATTCCACTGCCCACCAATGTAAGCAATTACCAGTAAGGCTCGGGGGGGGAGAGATCTGATGCCTTTACAGTCACCACATAGGTTTTTCTGGCCAGTAAATAACAGGGAACACATATACTCCAGAACTACAAAAATGTAGATGAGGAGGCAAAGAAAACAAAAAATGTCCCTACACCTACTGCTCAGAAAGTTTTGTATCTGTTCTATGTGTGCAAAAAAAAAAAAGTAAACCAAGTAGATCCTGCCAGAAGTAGTGCGAGTTGATAACGTCCTGAGCTCTACATCCGTGCAGCACTATCATTGTTCCCAGCCACCTTTGTGGACTATGGAACACATCCCCTATGGAGGAGGACTATGGGACACCTCCCACTAGGTTATGGTATGGTGGGGT